TTTAAATGACATCAGGTTTAAAAGCATTGTGTTCAGTGTTCATAAAACAGATATTACATATATTAAGTATTTTATTGTTATATAAAAGCAAAAACTTTTTTTTTCTTTGTGGCATAACTTTTCAGCCGTTTTTTTAAGCAAAGAAGTTTAGAGCAAATCAATATTTATTGCAGCGTATGTCAGTCTTGACCTTCCTCAAGCAGACTAACGTTTTCTCTCTCTCTTTTTTTTTTTAATCTAGTTTGTTTTGCATTTTTACATTGCAAAATATTTATAACTTTCTGACCTTTGTGTATCTGTGTAGGTTGGTGAAGCAATGCTTCATCCAGCAGTTACTGCAATATTTGTACTTTTAAATACAAATTTAATACGGATATATCTTTGGGTGTTATTTGTATGTAGGGGAACCTGTGATTTTCTTGAAAACTTTATAGAATAAAATGTTTTCGGGGCTGTAACTGTGAAAATGTAAATCTTTGCGTTATTTGACCGGCTTGTTCTCCGTATCACTCCATCTGTGGGATTGATGTCTGGGCTGGTCATGTTATTACCAAACGAGTCTTCTAGTGAAAGTCAAATGGACTGTGTCTTTTAAAGCTAGGATTACCGTTCTATTCAGGGTTGATGGAGGGAATCTGCCATCCATGACCGTTCTCCCACAGTCAGTGACACTGAGACGAAGCAACAACCCAAAGAAACAGCAAGGCTCCAATCCCTGTAATTGACACGTTAGTGAAGTGTGATAGTTACTGCTAATTATTTAGCATTTTCTCTTCTGTCATTCATAACATGTTATATTACTGTAATGCCGTGGACTGTTTTCTGACTGTTTTTAAGAGTCAAAATAATTAACAAATAGGTAAGTAATGAATAATTCCTATTGCAATAAATAAAAAAAAATCAACAGTAAGTTCCAAATAATTGTTATGTAATCATAATACATAATATATATACAGGGCCTAAAATTAACACTCGCCAAGCGCCAAATGTGACTAAAAATCGGCTTTGGCGAGTATATGAAACTGTCAGTCGCCAGATGGCCGGTAACATTTTTCTAAATTCTAACAGTGCAATGTTGTGAGAACATAAACGTGAACAAATGTGAACGACGCTCTGTACAGTTGATGGGTCAGTGCTGCTTCATCACAAAAGTGTAAGCCTTTGCAATATAAATATTCAAGAGCTAGAACACATGAAAGGAGACGCGTTATACTCGCGCTGAGTGGGAAGTTTAAACATCCGAAGCCCCGGCCTGAAAGAGCTCTGCTTCCTTCCTGCGCTTGAACGGACAAATTCACACAAAATGATGTAAAAAATGCCAGTCTCTGTGAGTATCCTAGTAAAGTAGATGGTTCTTAAGTGAACATAAACAGCTGAGAAAGAAACCAAACACGAACCGCGCATGACACAATGTGTCACAAGACAATAGAACCCATTATAATCAGTGATATTGTCTGCACAGGATGCGGCGCGACACGACAAATCCCCGAAAGTAAGCGGATTCCCCATTCTATTTCTGAAATAGTCCAAGCAAGGGCCAGTTTGTCGCATCTTCAAGCTGCTGCGGTGTAGAAATTGTGTTAAAGTGATAGACACAGAATTCCAATAATCCTGCTGTTGTCTGGGTTTTTAATGTTGATCAAAGAAAATAGGACAAAGAAAAAAACAATCACTCACTGCTCTTGAACTTTAAAAAAGATATAAAGACTATAGTGTTATTTGTTTAGCATAATTTATTACATTTCTGTAGGCTACCTGAAAATCACTGTTAGACCTGCCTGAAATGCACCGTTTCTATTTGTATATTTGTTGTATAGTAGGCTATTTTGTGCTATTGCTTGTAATTTGATTTGCTCTTATTTTACAACTGACTATTTACTAGTCTTTAAAAATGTAGATAGCATAGAAATATAATGCTGATAATAAATGCTGACAATCAGTTAATATAGTGCTAATCTACAAGTAATATAACAATTTTACCACACTTTATGGACTAATAATGTGTTTAATAATGTCATGGTGAAAAAAATAAATAAATAATGAAACGCAATAACTTATGATAGCTAAGGACACAATTGCATGAACATTTATTCTACACTATTTACTCCATTTTTAAAAGTTTTGAATAGAGTTTGGAACTGACACTTATGTCTATTTCAGCCAGTTATACATGATTATCTAACAAATAAAGTCACTAGTAGCATCTGTATATTACGAACTTCAGTGCTTTCTGAGAAATGGGGTTGTTTTCCATTGTTGTGCTCTTCAGTATACAGATATTTACCTTCAGTGTCCTCCAGTTGTTTTCAGTGATGCATTTGGTTGTTTTCATTGGTTCAGGGACTGTCATCGTGTTGCAAAGATACAATTTCAAACCTGTCCGCAGGGGATGTGTTTTCTCATTAAATGTCTCCCCAAAACCAAACCCGAGTCCTCAATTACTGCCGTCCATTGGTAATCTGGGCACACTCCTTGCGCTTTGTTCTTTCTGGGTCCATCCTTATCAGAAAGCAGCACTGTTTATGTTGACTCAGGCCAGTGCAGTCCGAGTAATGACTTGTCTCAGCGTGATTTGATGAGCTCACGATTGGCGGGAGGATCGTTGTGATGAACATGTCAATTGAAAGGCCACTGTGAAGTATTGAGGCGTTTTAATTAAACCGAGTGCAAACAGTAAATACTCACATTCTGGAGCTGCGCATGAATTGGAAGGTAATTATGATGTGCCTTAATTAGCTGTCGCCGTGATCTTAATTGCTTTTGAAGATGGCTGACCTCCCTTCCTGGGTGTACATGTTGGGAGTTCAATGTTGTCACAGTCGTTTCGTTTGCAGGTGTGCGTCTGGTCAAACTATCTTCTGGAGGTTACCCTCTCGGTTAATGTTCATTTATTTTTCCACTTTTTGTGTGTGTGTGTGTGTGCAGTTCTCATGTGTACATTTAACATGGCAAATTTTCTGTTCTGAATGCTTTCCATTTCTCTTGAAAATGCCAGTAGAGTAGTGTTACAGACTGTCATTTCAAACATTTCCATGACTCCTTTTCAATCCATTAGGGTCTTGAATGTTGAGTGAGTAGTATATAACTAGAGCTGGTTGATACAGCTATAAAAAAAGCTCTTTTTTCAGCCTTTTTAAAGGTATTTAATGTAGCTTAAAATTAAATAGAATTATTATTTTTTTCAGTCAGAGTAATCTTCTTTGCAACCAAACAGCCACTGTAGTCAAATGGATTCAAAATGTTAAATGCAAGATGTTTGTTTAATGTAAGAACTAAAATTAAATTCTATAATAAAAGTTTACCACTGTTTTTTACTGAATTATTTAAAATTAAAAAAACGGTTAAAATTATATATATATATATATATATATATATAATTTTAACCGTTTTTTTTTATTTTATATGTATGTATACTGTATATAATGCTGGAAAATTTTTATATTTTTATAGTGAATATCATTTAATTCTTAATTATTTTCCAAGCCAGAAATTGCTGTTTTTGTGTTTATAAAATAACTATTAATTTTCCAGTAATCACAAACTGATTTGTTGGTCAGAAACTGTGGAAAACCAGAATTAATATACTTTTGTGTTATCCATTCAGACAGTTGTTGCAATTTTACACACCGAAAGGGTCTGGAGATAATTGAAATAATAGTATTTTGGAGAACCGACTTAAGCATGTTGAACATGGTTCTATTCATAGAAAGTTGAGTTGTGGCTGTGATGAGCTGGATTTGGCACCTGTGAGGTTTCCTCCAAATTGCATTAGCTGTCAGCTCCCATTTCTATCACTGCATGTTTGTAGCGTGGTCTCTGCAAACTAAAACAATGTCATTAAGCTTCAACTTCAAATTAAGCCTCTTCAAGACTGTTCCAAACACCACAGTCATTTTCCAGCAGCGCAGCAAACCGCAGGACGCACATTCATCAGCGGCTTTAATGCTTGGCTGAAATGTTATTTATTAGCAGGTGCAGGTCAAACTTCCCCACGAAAATCAGAACGAGAGACAGACTGTGCTGCTCGTATGTCAGCATGAACCTTACAAAAATGCTTGATGTTTGTGTATTTGAGGATTATATGTGATTCATTCATTACCTCACTTCCAGATGCCTCCTTTAGAGCCAGATCTTACTTACAAAAATGACTCATTCAAGTGTAAGTGCTTTTCCCTCCAAAAGAAAGGAAACCCATTATGTTAGTGGCATTATTCCTGCCATTAACAAATCAAATACTAATAAGCACCGAGCTAAGGATATTACTTCTGCATTGGCAAATCTTGCAGTGTTTCAAATCTAATCATACCTTTGAACAGTATGCTTCCTTTGTAAGCAGTAGTTCATCCAAAAAATCTAAATGCTCATTATTTACTCATCCTCATGTCATTCCAAACTCATGGAGCGCAACAGGTGACATTCTAAAGACCTGATGTGGTTTTCCATGCAGTTACAATGAAGTTTTCAAGCAAATACAGACACAAAAGCACTATCAAAATTGATAGTCTTCTGTAGCTTTGTGTAGAAACAGATTAAAAATTAAGTTGTTTTCCACTGATCATTTTGTTGTTAACTACTGCGAAGGGGTGGAATCAGTGAGTTGAACTGAAGAACCAGATCAGTCCAATTCAAATGAATCACTGGTTTTATGAACCTAATTAAATGATTCATTGAAAAAATTCAAACGATTCTTTCATGAACTTCTCTTATGAACTCATTTGAGTCTTTTCCTCACGCAAAGCTGTCATATGACTTCAGATGACTTGAAATAAGCTCTCGAGTCATATAAACTACCTTCATGATGATTTTGTGTTGTTTTTGAGGTTTGAAAGCTTCACTCCATGTTTATTGAAATTGCATGGAAAAGAGCTTTAAAAACAGTCTTCAAAATTTCCGCTACACAGGTTTGGAATGACATTAACTTGAGTAAATGATGACAGAAATGTCTTTTTTTGAGACAGAATTAATTATGTCTAATCGTGTTTTATTTTCTTGTCTTTCAGGCTCTGTTGGAGAAGGTGGTTGTGAAAAGTGATGGCTTTAGTGTGGATCATCTGGAGAGAGTTTACTCCGTGCTCAGCCAGTGTATTTACCAGCACCGCAGAGACTACGACAAGACCTGTCTGATAGAGGTTGACTCACACATACACACACACAGAAACACAGATCAATATGATGTTCAAGTCAGAAGTTGTCAGAGAGAGCTTTATTGCCAAGAATGTTTGCACATACAAAGAATTTGTTTTGGTGACAGCAGCTTCCAGTACACAGAGACAACACCACCACACAGATAATAAAAAAAATAAAGATATGTTAAGATAATACACATATGTATATATATATAAAGGGTACTATTTTCTTTCGCAGTTTATCAAATTTCATGTTTGTTTCATGGGTGTACTGCAAGCGATATACCCACACAAGCAAATAGATTGTACATACACATATTTGTACAATAACTGACAGTCACCACTGATAAGCTACTACTAAATATTGTAGAAACTTAATTTTCTGTAAAGTTGCTTTGCAACGATTTGTATCGTGAAAAGCGCTATACAAATAAACTTGAATTGAATTGAACATATTTAAGAGAGGGTTTTGTGTGGTAATTGTACCACATGTTAGCAGGCAAACCACTTTCACTAGATAATTTATTAACATTATTTATTTGATTTGATATACAAGCTCAGACCACATTAAATTTTATTTTATTTTGTGTGCTAATGTAAAACATATAAATACATCTATTTTTTTTTTTTTTTCAATATTTCTATTGTATGTTTGAATTTATGGGCATTTCTGTTAACTTTTGTGCTATAATTTTATTTATTTTATGCTGTGTGCTTTTTTCAAACTTATAAATACATCTGCTTTATTTATTTGATTTGAGATACAAGCCCAGACCTTATTTTATTTTATATTATTATTTTATGTGCTGATGTAAAACTTAAAAAAAATATATTTTTTATTTTTATTATTTATATATATATATATATATATTCTTATCTTATCTTATCTTATCTTATCTTATCTTAAACTGAAGCAAAACCAGTTATAAACTCTGGATTAGACTATAAATATACTTAAACACGTTTTAGTACTTCTTTATTTCTTTTTCCAATTATTTGTTGTAATAATTGCGGAGCGAGTAGAATACTGAATTAAAATGATCCCTCTATTAACTAGTAGCTCTATACTGACTAATGACTCGTAATGTTCAGTTCAGTCATGTGTCATTTGTGTGACAGCGGCTCAGAGGAGATGGATACACGATGACTGAACATGGCACACTGAACACCTGCTGTGTGTTTAAATTACGCCAGCGCACCGATGGTGGAGAGCTCTCGCACGGCCTCATGGGAAATTATGTGCGCTGTTCTCAAATACAATAGTAATGGTAGCTGCCCAGCAGAAACAGATTAGAATTGCTCCAAGGAATTGTGGCCGGTGCGACTGAAGGCTAATTTGCATGTTGTGTACCAATTCCTCTTTGAGAGGACCCTAATTTAGTCGTATTTATTAATTCCAGTATGATTCGCAATCGAGACCATCTGGAAAAGCTGTATGTGTTTAGATTTTAATTCGCTGGTCACCGTCAGATTGTTGGATCTTTTGCAGCCGGTGGACTGGAGCGGAGATCCGCAGAGCATAGCGGAAATTGGACATGATTTTGTTAATTGTTCACATATTGTACTGTGCCATAAGAGTTTCATTGTTAGCTGCACTTTGACCTGAATAAGAATTACAATGTCAAATAAAAAGTCCAGAGTCCTAACTAGATGCAATGTGACAGTCGATTACATGGTTACTGCTTTTGTCACGTTACACTGGGTAGCTCCGCCCACAGTGGAATCTCATTGGTCTAAAATTCCACTTTACATAGCTGTTAAAGGGATAGTTCACCCAAAAATGAAACTTCACTCACCCTAATATCTATCAAAACCGGTTTGATTTTCTTGAAAGTCATAAAAGCACAAAAGGAGAAATATCTATATGAGGATGTTCTCACTGCACTTTTTCATACAATAAAAGATTCTACAGCTGTCAAGCAAGGTTGGATTTTTAATGAATTATATCAACACCAAGCTAGCTTTATATAAACAAATTATATGGCGTACATTTATGGTGCTTTTTTTATCCTAAGCAACTCTTGGTCACCATCCCCTTTATTGTTTGGAAGAGAGCAGCTCGGACACTCTGCTAAATGTCTCCTTTTGTGTTCAATGGAAGAAAAAAGTCAAGCAATTTTTTAAAAACATGAGGGTGAATAAATGACAATGTACATTTTGGGGTGAACTGTCCCTTTAAATACCAATTATTTTTGGATTTTGTCACTGTGTGGAAGAAAAAATCATTTTATGTTGGAAACATGTCACATCATTAGGACATGGTGTAAAAATAGACCAGAAACTTCTTTCCAAACCAAACTCTGATAGCGGATCACCTTTGATTTAGTCCCTTTTTACGTGAAATGACTTTGTCCTCCGTCCTACATTTGACTGCTTCATGTTCTGCCATGATGGTTGAATTAATCATGATTTTACTGCTGGCATTTTGATAGCGAGATTATACCCATGCAGCAGAAAGAAAAACTATTTAAAAAAAAAAATATATATATATATATTAGGGATGCACGATATTGGATTTTTGCCGATATCCGATATGCCGATAATTTTCAACTCATTTTGGCCGATACCGATATGTAATTATTTTTAATTTTGGTTAGTTTTTAACAAGAACTTATTTGTTAGAATTAAATAAACAATAATAAAATTATTTTATAATTGCAGTGCACTGAATATTTGAAAATAACTATAAATGAACTATATATTAATCACTGCATTTTTTTCCAGAAAGATGCAGTGGTAACTTTAACATTTTATTTTATGATGTAACATTTATAAATGGTCTAAATCAAAAGAGCTCATAATTTGTTTAAAAAATATAACATATTACACATTAATGAATAAATCAGTATAAAATTATTTAAATTAAGTGTCATGTTTGTGATTTTTTTTTTTGTTCATGTAAGCTATAGCTTCTGACCTTTAAATCAAAACATATTCATGATTTTATGGCATCAATTACTGCTTTATTTAATCAGAAACAGTCTAAATATTATTTGTGTATTTTGCTTTCATTTTATTAGAAGTAATAAGCCAACAGCGCTCCCTACGGAATTAAAACTCCTTACTTAGGCAGGCTTTAGGACCTGGGGGAGGCTGTCACTAAGTGTCATGTTTGTGATTTTTTTTTTTATTCATGTAAGCTATAGCTTCTGACCTTTAAATCAAAACATATTCATGATTTTATGGCATCAATTACTGCTTTATTTAATCAGAAACAGTCTAAATATTATTTGTGTATTTTGCTTTCATTTTATTAGAAGTAATAAGCCAACAGCGCTCCCTACGGAATTAAAACTCCTTACTTAGGCAGGCTTTAGGACCTGGGGGAGGCTGTCACTGCTGCCACTGCACGTGCTTTTACTGTTTACTCTATCATACACTGAACACGTCATTGTTTGTGCTTTCTCAGTTTAAATCTAATCACCATTCAGGCAAAACTTTGATTCATGAATGAGCCACACTGCTGACGTGATCTAATTGCTAGCACACCCTGAGCACATGTGAGTTAATGTATTCCTCTTATCGGCAAGACATATTGGCATAATTTTTCATATCGGGTTGATGCCGATATTTATATTAAAAGCCATTATCGGCCAATTCCGATATTGGTCCAATAATATCGTGCATCCCTAATATATATATATATATACACATACGTACGTACGTACATTTTTAATATAATAAATATATATATTTTTCTATTTCAAATAAATGCTGTTCTTTTGAACTTTCTATAATTATATATATACACATACATACATGCATACGTACGTACATTTTTAATATAATACATATATATATATTTTTCTATTTCAAATAAATGCTGTTCTTTTGAACTTTCTATAATTATTACCAAAAAAATGTATCAGGGTTTCCACAAAAATATAAAGTTTTCAACATTGATAATAAGAAATTGAGAATGATTTCTGAAGGCTCATGTGACACTCAAGTGCAGCCTTGGTGATCATAAGAGACTTTTCAAAAACATTACAAAATCTTACTGGCCACAAACTTTTGAACTGTATGTTAAAAATTAAAGTTTTTAATATTTAAGCTGATATTTAAGATAAAATCCAATCTAATCCAAATAATGGCCTTCAAAGCTTTGTTTGAAGTTCTTCTGGGTTTCATTTGCAAAACACATCCAATAAAATGACCATGTGATAATGTTTGATTGGGTCCACATTTAACAAAATATGCAATTAACAATGCGGTTTTCTGTCTTTTGATTTGCAGGCGATGGAGAAGTTGAACATGTCGAAACATTCCTGTGATGAATAGAGGGCTTTCAGAGAGAAACGTGATCGGAGAGTCTTTTGATACAAGAGGGAGAGGCCGGCGTTTTGAGCCAAGTCCTTAACGCAGAGCAGGTCTGGACGCCTCGGTCTCAGATAACAGCAGGAAGGGGAAAAAAAGGTGCAGACATTAGAAACAAAGACTTACAGAGGCGACCTTGGTGCTATCATCTCAGGTACCTGAAACAGAACCAAACACAAAAACTCCTGGAGGTTTCCTTTTTAATCGTTTCGTTTTTGTACTTGCTTACATGCCAATTGATCGTTCTTGGTGCTAATGGGTGCTATTGTTTTGTTTAGTTTTTTTTCTATTTTTTTTCGTCTGCTGCTCCTTGTTCTCATAAATAAGCAAACAAAACACAAACAAACTACATAATAAAAGATTGTGTGATGTCACAAAGCAACCTCAGCCTCCGTCTACTGGAAGCAAACACACGCACACATAAACACAGATTCTCACCAGCAGTGGCAAACTGTATATGGATGGTGTGATGCCCTGCAGCTCGAGTCAGCTGGTTGTTTACTGTGGAAATAAACTACATCGCCCTCTTTCTACATTCACCGTGATGTCACACCTTGTCACCACTGGGATTATCAACACTTTTTAGCCACATAGAGATACTCTTGCTGGGAAAAAAAAACAACACATTTTGTAGGGACGTCTAGAGTTGTTTTCTACTGGATGTTAATTGTAAGATTTGCAAGGATTCTGTATTGTAAACCAACTTTTCCTTGTGACAAATTAGACTGTGTTCTCTTATTCAGACTATACTATTTGTAGAAACCAACAAAAATAAGCGGACAGATTTTGATTAAAATAGATCTTTAGGAGAGGAATGGTATTATTTTAGACCCATCGCATATTTCCCCCCTTGGAATAGTTCATGGGCTTTTTTTACTTTAATTTTTGTGCTTTTTTTCTGGTTTAACTGGATTTACGAGTAGATATCTGGAGATTGCACTGCCTAGCATGTGCCTTAACCTTTGAGATAGGCTGAAAAACATAGCTGAATATTGACTATCAATGTTTATGGACAAGCCACAGGGCTACAAACCAATAAAAATGTGGCGTATTTGTACTTAATTGTTTGCCAATCTCTTCTCAAGTCACCAAGCAACATCTGCATGGTTTGTGAGTCACGTTGCTCTGTCATACATTGTGGCTTTCTTTTGCCATCCATTTTTATCGTAACATCACATATTGGAGTAAAAATAAGTGATGTTTTGGTATGCAAGCGTTGAAGTTAAAATGGCAGTCTAGGCAGTGCTGAATTTTTGAACATAAAGCATTACTGTATTTTTTTATTTTCCGTGTGACCTTTCCATTGTGTTAACTTGTGCGGTCTAATATTAGCTGTCGCATTAATAACTTGATTTCTGTCAATTTTGGCATTGTGTAAGTAGCATTAACCGAATTCTCCCTCTCAACTTTTGTTAAATCTCAGCTTTATAAAGAACGTTGATCCAAGTTCAAGAGTCCTCGTGACCTTGTCTAGGATTCGGTGCTATAAAAACAGAAAAAAAGGAAAATAACACTTTTTAAGACATATGCAAAAGAAAGGAAAAAACAAACAAACTAGGAGTTAGCTGTTAGCTTTGGACTACTGCAGTGCGTGTGAGAGACAGAACAACAGCTACCTCAGCAAGTTGTTTTCATGCGAAGAGACAAAAGTAATGACCCGTTTACTGACAAACAGTATTTGTTGACCTCTGTAATATCACTGCGCCCTTCAGAAATTCAAGCTAAGGTACTGGATCACCTCTCCGACATGAGTGCGTCATGTGGCTGCTGCAGTAATCCTCTGCTTTGTTCGCATTTTTGCATTATATTTCGTTTTTTTGGGTTGTTCTGCGTTTGAGCCGAGAAAAGAAATGGTATTGTAATATAGCTGAAATGTTATTTACTGTATAGTTCAGTTTTTCTACGTGCATCCCATGATTTACATTTTATTGGCCATGTTCGTGTTTCTTCAGTCCATTTCATGATCGTTTCTGAATTAACGGTCGCATTTTCCTTCATGCTATTGCCTGTCCATTTGATATTTATAAAATTATAAAAACGTCGTCATATGTTCAACATTTTGTTCAACCGAAACTAATTGGAAAAGGTGTTACATGAAATTTGTGCCGAGACACAATGTAGCACATTTTTGTAGCAGGTGTTGCACGACGTTCAGAAACGGGGTTAACTGGTCTCAGGTCTCTGCTACATTAATATTTATTCCATAAGGGTGGAGATGATGGTGGCTATGATGCTTTTTAATTTTTAAATATTATTGTAGAGGATGAGGGGGAGGTTCATGCGGCTAATGTCCCTCTTCGTCACCTGTTGTACCATCAACATGCTTAACTGGTGTAGTGTTGTAGAAACTACTGTAATGCTGACCAATTTGTTCTTACAAATTTATCTGGGGAAAAATGAGTTGATGCCAGTTCACAAGACATACCCTATTTTGCATAGCTAATAGCAAAATGTAATTGGCCCTGAATCAAACAGTATGTAATGTGGTCAGTACGTAACGTGGAAATGAAATTTCACATTTAGAAGCACCATTAATATATTTTTTAGAAAATTAACTCCTAACTCCTGCATTAAAAATGTTACAACGTGGACATGAAAGTCGGTATAGTTCTATGTTTTCTAAGTTCATTTCCTTTAGTTGACCAGAGTCTAATTCAGATTATTTGACTGATGGTAGGAAGTCCATAGAACAATAGCATTTTGCTTTAAGTAGTTAAATAAGACCCACCCACTAAACTCCTTTGTTTTTGGTGTAATAAGTCCACGTGTTTCTCAAGTTGGTGCTCAATGTTGGATTTTTATTTTTTTTTGGCAACCGATTTAGTTAATCCTCATTTAATCAGTAGATATATGTCCCTTAATGAGTTACAAGGTTGAGGGAATTTAGTTTTTGCGTAATACCAGAATTTCTGTCCCTTTTATTTTTACTACTACAAAGCAAATCAAAACCACACACTGTTCTGTCCTTCCCTGCAGTCTTTTTGTGAAATGATATATTTACTGTAATTTCTGAAATAAACTGCTGTGATATACTTGAATAAAAGGTGCAAATTGAAGTCGTTCTAGTGTTTCAATTTCAATCTGAGTCCTGTCTTGAGTTGTAATAAGGGTTACGGCACATTTTGGATGGTGTGCTGCGTTCATAAATTGGAAAATTTAAATGGCATATAGCACACGGTTCTGGATGAGTGTAAGATTGACCAATAAAAATAAAAAAAAGCAAATTTTAACTCACAAATAACTTACATTTGTTGACTTATAAAAGTATTCAGCTTTGCCACTACACCTCTAAAGTCGCTCCAAATATTTACTGGCTTAATTTTTTTTAATGTTATGGAAAATACAGAACTAACTTTAATTAAATAGACATTTACTCAGAACAAAATTGCACTTCATAAGTAAAAATCCTTACAGGTTAGCCAAAAATGACAACTTGGTCATAAGTTGTGGGAACGTCATGCAAAAGCGTGAAATGTAAATAAACAGTCAACTTGTTGCTTTAGAATTCTGGATATGTAATTCAGCATTAATAACGTAAATTGTTCCAGTAGGGTACAGATTTACAGACATTGTCAAATCCATTGATTTTTTTTTTCTAAAAACATTTATACACAATTTTCATTAGTTTTTAAAATATACATATCTTCCCTATAATACAAAGTTTCTCCTTCCATCTTGCTCCATCTGTATTCTGCCACAGCTGCAGGGTCGTTGATTGGAATAAAACACGAGGATAAAACCCACAAAGAAAAGGTGGAATGATTTACACAGAACAAAATGAAATGAAACTCCTCTGGGCATCACAGGTTCTGGTATTTTTGTGCTTTGGAGTTCAGGAGGGCCTTCATTCAATCCCGGCTCTCTGTAGCGCTGACCCTCGCTGGAGGGCTACATGACTAGCATCGTCTTCCTTTGGCTTCTTGCGGAAGTCCCTTCAAGATGAAACTGATCATGATACACAATCCCATATTCTCATGACATGACCACCAATGAAAAACGAGATTTGATGAGAACCTTATCAAAGAAACATCATGAGGGAGAAAAACATCAACTCAAACATTGGAAGAAGAACCAAAAAAAAAAAGCATTTGGCTGACCTAGAATACAGTTCCAGTGGCACGACACCTGAGGGGGAGCTACGCTACGGATCCCTTGCTAACTGCAACGGTCCGACCGTGTTCCACCCAGGTTGGCTGGTTGGAGCTCGATGGGCTGGTTTAGGCCAGTTCGTGACATTAGAGAAGTCCAGAGTCGAGCACATCGTCAGCCGCTCTGAATGTACTTCTTTATAACCACGCATCCGTGTCTGAAAAGCGGACACGGCAGATTCTGCAGCAGCGTCCACGTGTTCGTGCAAGGGTCGAAGGTCTCCATGTTGCCCAGCGCCGGTCCCTCGCTGCTCACGATCCCTCCCGTTGCATAGATCTTGCCGTCTAGGATCGCCGCACTGGGGGAGGAACAAGAGACCATTTGTAATGTGGAACATAGTTTATTGCATCGTGTAGCGCAATCTACTGTTCATTAGACCAACCTGCAGAACTGCCTGGAGTGATTCATGTTGGGGCCGGCTTTGATGTTGCCCTTGTCTGGGTCGTAGATAGTGGTGGCTCGGGCGTAGGCTCCTCCCAGGATGAAGATAAAACCATTGAGGCTCACGGCAGGAGCGTACTTGTTATCTAAATAGCCCAAAAGGAGAACAGGAGGAAAGAGAACGACAGATAGAAGTTACTTCTCTGATGTATGTTCTGGCCACAGATTAATTTTTGCCTGGGAATAAAGGCGCGTTATCGTACACATTGTGCTCCATGCAAGATGTGTGGTGCTTTTTGGAGCTATGAGTAAATTATATAGATGCTGGGATGCCTACATCCTTATCACAATGTTCTTTCGGAAGATTCCAGTGGAACGGCGGATAATTAATGAGGTAGATTATGGACTACAGTACTGTATACGACTGCGTCAGTCTGCAATCTTCCGAAATCTGGATAGAAGCACCATTTGTAATGCATTTATGATTTTCCTGGCCTGTTTCCTGCCACATTCCATTTCCCACGTCCCTGTATCCTTTATGGTTTACGTTATTAAGCGGAGAATGACAAATACCGGCAAACATAATTATGGCGCCCGTTTCATCTAATGATTCCATACAGAGGAAATTAACTCTGTAATATCCGAAGACCCTTAACAACGTGACAGCTTTTACTCACTCTATCCTTCTTCACATGGGGTAAATGGCCAAGAAACAGAAATAATCATATCTTTTCATGAGCAGGCAAATGACTGACAGCCTGACTCACGGTCGTGAACACTGAAAAGGTCGTCGAGCCAAATGCAAGAGAGAGGCTATCAGCCTTCGCTTTCTGACAGAGAAATTGTTTCCCAAACGATTACAGCTGGGCCAATTTATTACACCTATGAATAATTCACGTGGCTGCGTTCAAGGTTTTGTTTTGTTTTTTTCCACACCTTCGACTGACGCTTGAGAAGCCGAGCACAGAAGCGATCTGTAAAACAGCGGCTGGATTTAATGGTTGAAAAGGAAGTACGAGATAGGCTCTCGCTTGGCGGCGTGACTGCCAGGTGCTTCTCAGTAAAACCCCCCACCGCTCAACTTTGAGTGACGGTGCAGATAACGCCCTCTTTTTATAGCACTCCAGTCACAGCAAGCGTTGTCGAATTGATCGGCGGCATAACCCAGGGGGACGCGTCGACTTCTGTAACAAGAGCATAGTTTTGGCGCCCCCCTCGAACATATCTTTATTCCCCTCACAAAAACGCCTGCTTTTGTGCCAAGTCACTTCATTCAGCCTCCCTGAGTGCTTTGTTTGCATCATGAGCGCATGCATCTTGCAAGCGGCTTGAGTTGCCGGCGCCGTAGGATCAGCTCCGTTAAGTCCTAATCTCACCCTACGCAATGCTCTGTTTATCTGTTTGTTGTCTCGTTTTCAAACCCAACGCTGATGCTATCAGCAGAGCTCATTGTTGGGTTTGGCCCACGTTCTTGCTACTCGAGGGCCTCGAGTGTGACGCCAAAGCTCGGTCTGCTTCTTTGATGCTGAAATCCTGCCACCGGCAAGACGTCTCAAGGTTTCGATCAAATGGGGGACCTGTATCTGGCACAATGGAGACATGAGAGATTCAGCTTTCTGAGAGCGAAACAAGACAACAACAACAGTTCGCGCCACCAATTTGCAGAGGTGTCTCGCTCAATTTTTCAAATGTGGCAGAGAAAAGCTATTAAAAGACGAAAGAAAGGGAAAGGAGTTGTTTGAATAGCAGCATTCCCAGAGAGGTGGGCTGAAAATAGGGTGAGAACACCGGCAACAACCTTCTGTCCACAGTAAACAAGTTGAAGCGTTTTACGCGAGACTACTTCAGTCAAACCCATCTCACACCGCTTTTTCACTCTGACGGACGTCTCAATTTACCGCCTAGCCAATTTACAAGCTTTAAACCTGTTTTATAAACACTGGCTACCCTTCGTACCGGTAGTTTCGAGACTGAGGGATGTCTGTCGACGAGGCAGCTCGACACGGTCTGAGTCCAGTGGTGAGCGCTCGTCGAGTGGCTGGGAGCCAGCTCAGTGATAACTCATCAGACTGTCCAGAGGCTCCCTCAATCACTTTTTAATGTGCCTGTACTCTAAAGACACCCTGCAATCTTGTGTAATTTGTACAAGCAATTGTTTGCAATCAATTCCCCAACATCCACATGGCTTCATGCACTTCCAGTGGCACTTTGCCTGCTCGACTTTCACTGACAGCTTGTCTTGTTGGCACTGGCTGAACTAGTGTTTGCTCAGTAGTGTTTACTACTGACTGCAGGTCTTCAAACAACAGAATCACACAGGGACCTTGAAGAAGTGAACCTGTTAAAAGCCTTTTGTGGAAGGTCGTGGCCTCTGTAGATACGGCAGGGGAAATATGCAATGGTAGAATCTCATTCTGGGTAAAACTAAATAAATAAAGACTTACAGGCCTGTCAATCAGTGAGAAAGAACCAAACACTAACACTGCCAGGAAAGAGGTAGTCTTATTCAATCATCCCATGTTCAAATACCATGCCAGTTTTTATCCTTAATTTATCCTTGTGTAGACACACAGTTACACATGTGAAGGCAAAAAATGCATTAGTATCTGAAGTAACTTGAACAAAGATGAATGCTGTAAAATTATTGTTCACTACTGTTTAACATTAGATATCATGAACAGTTTTTTACAGCACTTATTATTGATAAATATACAATAAAATATTTTAATACAAAAATATTTCATATTACGTATTATTAATTGTATTATTTAAATGTTATAATATTTAAATAATATATAAATATAACTAAAATACATTTAATTATTTATATTTAAATTGAAATGTTAAAAATGGTATTTGAAATAACATGAACCGAGATTAATAAATGCTGTAAATTTTTTGTCCATTACTATTTAACATTAGATATCATGAACAGTTTTTTTTTAACGCCATTTATTATTTATAAATTTTAATAAAACATTTTAAACATGACAAAAATGTTAAATAAAATATTTAATATAATATTTTATTATTTAAATGTTCTAATATTTAAATAATATAAAATATATTAACATAAATGCAATATTTACATAAAACTTGAAATTGAGATTAACATGAACCAAGATTAATAAATGTTGTCAAATTATTGTTCATTACTGGTTAATATTAGATATCAGGAAAAGTTTTTTTCATAGCATTTATTATTACCAAATTTATAATAAAATATTTAAATATAAATATATAAATAATATAATGAAATAAAAAATATATATACTATATTGTATTAAATTAAATTATATTTTTACTTATTTTGTGTTCAGCACAAAAGTAAACATGGAAATATACTCATGTGTATGAACAATAATCACAATTAAAGATGTTCATGTGAAAGGCTCATGATTGGACAAATTAAGAGATTATTCTTCATGTTTATCTAGTTCTATGTACTCGATGCAACTTAATTTAATTACCAAATTAATTTAGTTTATGAAATGGCTTTTATGATGCCTTAGCACAGCAATCACTGAGCTAATTGAAGCCTGAGAAACCTCCTACTGCAAGTAAAGATGGTGAGTCTCAATCTGCCGTATCAGTCCTGCTGTTCTTCTGCTACGATTGAGCCCTTGAGCAAAGCAAACAACCCCATAAAAGCCTTTCACGAAGACAGACCACAAATACTGAACCACCTCCTGGTGCCATGTTGACAAATACATGTTTTCAAATGGTCTTTGGGTGAAAATTTAGATGCACAAATGAACCATTTTCATTTTCCATTAACAAACTGGTGTTCAAGCGATGTACCTACCGATCATGGGGGACTCTATAAAGCTCCAGGTGTTGGTCTGAGGGACGTAAGACTGTAAAACACCAGCCGAGCGTCCAGCTTCATTCACACCACCAAACACGTAGATCTTCCCGCCGCACACGGTGGCAGCCGCCGAATGAACGGGCTTGGGCAGCGGAGAGACCGTCTCCCACTGATTCGTGATGGTGTCGTACCTGAAGAGAACAGAAGCGAGACATTTGTTAGCATTGCTGCTGTTTGTGTAGTTCTAACAGCAACAGACATTTCTCACAGTGTGTCCTAATAAAGATGCGGGGCTTTACTGTGAAAAGACCGCATGTAAAAACAACACTATATGCAAGTTAGTAACTGAATCAGCATGATATCAGCAGGCTTGTGCAATATTCAGAAATGAAGATGGCTCTCTTTTAATCGAGGATTTGTGAATTGGCCACATCTCACGGGATAAGAAAAGAAATTTGAACTGGATTGCAATTAAAAGAAATTCAAAACACAATGCTTTCTCGGAAATGAAGTCCACAAAAGTTAAAGAGAAATAGAAATTATCTATGTTCTATTTCTCTCTCTCTCTATATATATACACACACACACACACACACACACTCTCTCTCTCTCACACACACACACACTCTCTCTCTCTCACACACACACACACTCTCTCTCTCTCACACACACACACACTCTCTCTCTCTCACACACACACACACTCTCTCTCTCTCACACACACACACACTCTCTCTCTCTCACACACACACACACTCTCTCTCTCTCACACACACACACACTCTCTCTCTCTCACACACACACACACTCTCTCTCTCTCACACACACACACACTCTCTCTCTCTCACACACACACACACTCTCTCTCTCTCACACACACACACACTCTCTCTCTCTCACACACACACACACTCTCTCTCTCTCACACACACACACACTCTCTCTCTCTCACACACACACACACTCTCTCTCTCTCACACACACACACACTCTCTCTCTCTCACACACACACACACTCTCTCTCTCTCACACACACACACACTCTCTCTCTCTCACACACACACACACTCTCTCTCTCTCACACACACACACACTCTCTCTCTCTCACACACACACACACTCTCTCTCTCTCACACACACACACACTCTCTCTCTCTCACACACACACACACTCTCTCTCTCTCACACACACACACACTCTCTCTCTCTCACACACACACACACTCTCTCTCTCTCACACACACACACACTCTCTCTCTCTCACACACACACACACTCTCTCTCTCTCACACACACACACACTCTCTCTCTCTCACACACACACACACTCTCTCTCTCTCACACACACACACACTCTCTCTCTCTCACACACACACACACTCTCTCTCTCTCACACACACACACACTCTCTCTCTCTCACACACACACACACTCTCTCTCTCTCACACACACACACACTCTCTCTCTCTCACACACACACACACTCTCTCTCTCTCACACACACACACACTCTCTCTCTCTCACACACACACACACTCTCTCTCTCTCACACACACACACACTCTCTCTCTCTCACACACACACACACTCTCTCTCTCTCACACACACACACACTCTCTCTCTCTCACACACACACACACTCTCTCTCTCTCACACACACACACACTCTCTCTCTCTCACACACACACACACTCTCTCTCTCTCACACACACACACACTCTCTCTCTCTCACACACACACACACTCTCTCTCTCTCACACACACACACACTCTCTCTCTCTCACACACACACACACTCTCTCTCTCTCACACACACACACACTCTCTCTCTCTCACACACACACACACTCTCTCTCTCTCACACACACACACACACATATATATATATATATATGTGTGTATATATAAAACAAAAGTTAATTTATTAAAATAATGAAATATATAAATATATAATGTAATATACTGTATAGATGCATTCCAAACATCTCTCATCCCAACATCTCTATCTATCAATATGTTTATAAATATATAAACAAAATTTCAAAATGTAATAAATATGATACAAATTATATAATGAATCAAACAGAAAAAGAGTTTAAAAATGTTAAATATATAGACAATATTGGTGGTATTTCAGACATTATCTATCTAGACATTTTAAAAATGTATATAAAATATGATGAAATATATAAAAGTGATCTAGACATTTTACATTTTTCCAAAATTTCCAAACAAGGCTGTCAAGCAAACATTAAAATTAATTTGAATTTCCAAATGAGTCTGAACTCTACTTTAATTCAGATTCAAAAGTAATGATGCAACCAGTTTGCGACCTCAATTCCAATGTAATTCAAATGTAAAAAGTAAAAATCCTTGTGAATTCAGTTTGGAATGGAGCGCAGCCTCAGTTCTCAGCGATGAAGTGTCTAATGAAATCCCAGCCCTTCTGCTGAAGAGTCACACATGTTCATGTATGAGCCAGCGGAGCCGTGCAACCATACGGCGGATCACGCTTCCTCGCTTCACAGTGTGTCACGTGCTGCCTTCAGAGGCCTGAACACACAGCCATCCAGCTGGAGAGCTCATCCTGCGCCATTGTTCTCAGGATCAGTAATCAGGCCTCCGCCGCTCCTAACTGCTCTCAATGACGACAGAGAGAAGCTCCACCAGCGAGAACGGCTGCGTCAGCTTGAGGGAACGTCAGAGAACGGTTGAAGTACAGGAAAATGCTTTGGTTCTTGCGGCTATTGATTAACTGTGCAATGAATCAGACATATGAGGACACGGAACACAACTATGAATGGAACGTAACTGATTACTAACCGCAGATACTTTCTGAATGATGAACAGCTTTGCCAATATTTCAATTCACTGCAGGCAACATTAGTGGAGGTATAAAGATGATGAGAAAAGGAATCTAGCAGGCAGGAAGAGAAGCCTCGGGCTACAAACACATTAGCAACAGCTCGCACAAATCGAGTGAGATGCCGCAGCCATCAAATAATGCAAAAATGCTAAAAGTAATGACAAGTGACTCTGAGTTTACCTTTGATAAGTTTGACTTTTTAAGCGCACACTTGAATAAGATCGTCGTCTCTGCTGTTTATGACACTAAAAACAACTTTTTGCGGTTTATTCCATCAGTCTTATTTATTGTGTGTATTTTACTGTTGTAGTTGCTGAACATTCGTCTGCACCATTGTTTCTTTTACTCCATTACTTTCCTGCAAATTGATAATAAAAAGAATAAACCTGACATCAACTTTGACTCCATGAATGTAGTACACCTTTTTACATTAGTTCTTTTTTTAAAGCTTAAGCTGCACAAATCTGCACAAAAAGAACTATAAGAAACATTTGGAAGAGTTTTATATATATCATAATTTTAACTAAGCATGAAAAGTGGCTGGTCTGAAACACATCAAATTTCTCTATAAGCCCTAAAAGGGGACTTTGGCCATTAAAAACAATAATAGTAATAGTTATATAATTAACAGTAATAGTATTTAAAAATTTTTTTTTAATAATTTACCAATAACAACATAATAAATAATTATAATTAATAAAAATATTTAATTGTGCATTTTGCAAGCATCTCATTCAAATTTCTCAATTTTTACTCAAATCATAGTGCTGACATATATAATATTTAAAATTTTAGCACCTTATTCCATTAACAATGTGTTGGAAAAAAAAAAAAAAGTTTCAGGCACTATTTAAAAAAAAAAACTAAAAAAAAAAAATTGTATCTTATTCATGGAAACTTACACGGCCGTTCAAACGTTTGGGGTTGGTAATATTTTTTAATGTTTTTGAAAGACTTTTATGCTCACCCAGGCTGCATTTATTTGATAAAAATATAATAAAACCGTAATATTGTGAAATATTATTACAATTTAATTTATTAATTTTCTATTTGAAAATGTTAAAATGTAATTTATTCCTGTGATGCAAAGCTGAATTTTCAGCATCATTACTCCAGTCTTCAGTGTCACATGATCCTTCAGAAATCATTCTAATATGCTGATTTGCAATAAAAAAAAAGTTTCTTATTATCATCAATGCTGAAAACAGTTGTTCTGCTTAATATTTTTGTGGAAACCGAGATAAAACCTTGTCAGGATTATTTAATGAATAGAAAGTTCGAAGGAACAGCAGTTATTTGAAATAGAAATCTCTTGTAACTTTATAAATGCATTATTTACTGTCACGTTTGATCAATTTAATGAAACCTCGCTGAATAAAAGTAATCTTACTGACCCCAAATGTTTGAACAGTAGCGTATATATTTCAAATATAGTCAAAGTGATTTCAAGTTTCTAAAAACTGACCTTTCTGGGCCAGTACACTACAGAGGTGACTTAGACGGGAATGAAATGAGAGTGAGTCGGAGTGAATAAGGTATGAAGCACATAATAACGGATGTTATCCAGCCGGATGCGCCGGGGCCGATCTGTCCTCTATGATGATCTCATCAGCGCTCCTGTAATTATAAGAGCTACTGTACTGTGACCCACATTCACCCGCCTCACAATCCACTCTCTATTTAATCAGATGAGAGCCAGAGGGGAGGGGGAGGAGTCTCTGATTGGCTGCTTTGATAACCTGTGCCTGAAGGGAGCCAATGAGATCAGCCGGAGGAAGACGGTGATGTGCGTGCAGTGATGAGGGCTGTTAGGAAACACGATTAGAAAAGCTCGTGCTCGCTCTGATAAAGCCAGCGACTGGCACTTCTGAGCTCCTGTCTGACCTTATCGTTCCTCCCGTCCTTGACGAAGCGGTTTATCTGCCGTCCCTCTCAGGTATATCCACAGAACTCGATTGCGGTCAAGGGTCAAGTTCATTTCACTTGCCGTGCCAGCGGCGTAAACACGCTCGGCGAGGACTGGGATCGATACGTGGAGGGCGTCTGTGGCCTCTCATTATTTGAGGGATTTCTACAGCATTAAGCAAATGATCTGTGCTAGATTTAACAGCATCAAAACTCTCCAGTGCTGAACGTTTTCTACACACACCTGCAACTTGCAAATGAAAGTCTTTGTTAATGCACCGAGATGATAGAGTTCATTAGTCTGTTTGCTGTGATTGTTATTAGTAGTGTTTGCCAAGCTAAACATCCTCAATGGCCGAGTCGTTGCAGCAAGCACACAGAACACCTGCAGAACTGCACAGCAACACCCTAAGATCGGCA